CTGTGAATTACCACCACTTTGGAGGGCACAGAGACAGATGCTAAAAGTTCATCTATCTCCTTGTGATACTTTATGGGAGATCCACTGGCCGTCAGATAATTTGTTTCTTTCCTGTGGCTGCATGTGCGCGTACTACAGGAAAGCATGCTTCCATTCAGCATAAATGTTGACTGTCCTTTATTGAGTTGTAAGGCCTTTGTTAAGGCTATGAGTTCTGCTAGCTGAGCGCTAGTCCCAGGGGCAAATGAGAAACTAGTGTCTGATGTAGTCACTACTGCATACCCCAACTTTCTTCTCCTATTTTCCGTGAAGGAGCTGCCTCACAGAAGAGGGTCAGATCAAGGTCAGTAAGGGGTGTATCTAACAAGTCTTCAGTCGCATGCACATGGAAAATTACCTCCTCGAAATCATGTTTTCAGCCTCAGTTTCTTCTTTCTCTGGTAGAAGGGTGCAAGGTTTTGTCTTTTTGGTACCGGGGAGCGAACTCACGACCTCACACTTGCCAGGCGAGCGCCTATGCCGCTGAGCTAAATCTCTGGTCCAGAGTGCAGGGCTGAAGGAGGGACCACGTGTCTTTATTTGAATGGCTGGTCCTTCTACAGGTAAAGCCTGGTGTTTAAGAAGTCGGTTGTCTGCTAGGCACGGGCTCCCTTTGGAGGAAGGCAGTGCTGCCACATTGAGAGGGGCACAGTCAGCTTGGATGCCTCTAGTACCAGGAGAGCTCTGGCAGCCCCCAGCCTAAGGCACGCAGGCCATCCTTTTGCTACAGTGTCTAATTCATGACTCAGATACCCTACAGGCTGTTGAGCAATCCTCAACCCTGCGTAAGCACTCCTAAAATCTAAAATCGGGCCCCACCTTTCATTAACATACAGATTGAGATGGTATCCTGTTGGTAATCTCAGTGCTGAGGCATTTAGAAGCCCTTGCTTAAGCTTCTGATTGTAGATTTGGATTTGGAATCGGGTTTCCAGGTTACAATACGGGTATCTACCTTTCGGGCTTCCTTTATAAACTGATAGGTGACAAGAGCTTGCAGTTCCAAAGAATTCGCTTAGTTGTTTTAGGATCTAGTGCTGTGGGAAGGAAAGTATTGGTTTAATTCTCTCTTTCCTAGACTTCTGGTTCCTTTAGATATGATAAGGCCCAAGTATTTTACCTCAAGGCTATTAAGTTGAGTTTCAGAGCTAGGTACCTTATAACCTCTGTCTTAGAAAATTCATCACAGCACAGGTTCCTTGACTAGAGAGCTCTTCTGAGGGGGCACATAATAAACATTATGTACATACTGCAAGACAGTGATTTGGGAAAATTCAAAACACGCCAACTAGTGGGAAAGCACTTGTCCAGAAAGATGAGGACTATTTCTGACTTTTGAGAAAGCACAGCCCATGTCGCTTATGAGGCCTGGTCATGACAGTTTGCAAAGGCAAAAAGAAACTGAGAATCTGTAGGTAAAGAAATGCAAAAGAAGCCATCTTTTAAATCTAAAGCCGAAAACCACCCAACGTCTTCTGGGATCTGAGAAAGGACAGTGCAGGGATACCTACCACCAGGTAAATTGATACTTCGGTCTCATTCACCAATCAAAGGTCCTGTCCCAACTTCCAATCCCTGTTGGGCTTTTGAACTCCTAAGATTAGAGAGCTACAAGGGCAACTACCCTGCTTAAGTAGACCTTGGGCCCTTAAATGAGTGATTATGGGCAATAAACCTCACTTAACTTCAGGCCTTAAGGGGTATCGTTTTCAGTAAAGTAGTAGGACCTTTGAGATGTATTTGCACCAGGACAGCTCTTATTTCTCTTCCTGTTTGATATTTAGTTGCCCATATAATTCAGGATTTATTTCTGTCTCCACGAGGGGGAGACAGCATACCTGACCTTGGTGCATGTATATTACAGTATTCAAGCAAGATAAGATATGTCTCCCCAGGGGAACTGGACTTTCAGGCATAATCAAAAAGAAATGGGAGAGGAGACAGAAATTCCAGTTTTAGCCTAAGGATTGTGAGAAATAGCGAGTGACCTCTCCACTGAATCCTTTCGCTGAAGTATGAGGGCTGGAAGGAAGGCCAGGGTTGAAAAGTGGATCAGGAGACACGCACCAGTGTCCAGCACTAGACTGGTTTCATTTCCCTCTATAGCCATGATTACTCAGGCTCCTCCACGGAGATGAGAGTCTGGCCAGAGGGAGAAGGCAGAGGGTGCTCGGGGGCCTTTTAATCTTGCTAGAGGGGCTGATGAGATGAGTCTGTTTGCTGGAGCCTCCACCTCGGGGGACAGTCCTATTTCCAGTGGTCACCTTTGCAATCAGGGCTTGTCTTGGGAGCCTCTTGTTTTGTTTTGTGTTTTTGAAACAGCGTATCACTGTGCAGTTCAGGTTGGACTTGAACTCACTTTGCAGCCCAGACTGGCCTCAAATTCACAATGATCCTTGTGCCTCAGCTTCCGGATGCTGGGATTACAGGTGTGAGCCATTTTGTTCCGACAGTCTCAATGGTTCTTATCAGAGTTTATCCTAAGGGTGGCCTGGTTTCCCGCAGCAGTTGATGGGTTTAGTTGTTTAGCTCTCCTTGGAGCCCTGAGAATCAGAATTAGGGTCTATTTCTTTTACGCTTGCAACCAAGACAGCCATTTTCTCTTGGTCTCTTAATTTCTCCCTTTGGCCTCCTCCTGGTTCTGATTATAAAATACTGAGGAGGCGATTCTCACCAAAGTATCGAGTGAGCTATCTGGAGCAAAAACCATCTTTTGTAGTTTTTTCCTAATATCTGAGGCTGACTGGAATAAACTCACCTTTAAGAATAATCTGTCCTTCTACTGAATTAGGAATGGATGGATGTTTCAGGTAAGCCTTTTGTAAATCATCTAAAAGGCACAGGGGTTCTCATCTTTCTCCTGATAGTTGACAATTTAAGATCATTTATAGGCTTAGCTCTCAAATTTCTTAGACCTTCAAGAATACATGTCTGAAGACGTCTCCTGTTCTGATCTCCTGTCTAGTTAGTGGGCCAGAAGGGATCTTGGACTCCAGTAGGAACCAGCTGTTTCCCTGGTTGACTGTCTTCTGGCCTTCAAAAATTAACAATATGATGTTCATCTCCAAATGGAATAGCAGCTTGCAATGCTGCTTGTCTCTCATTAAAAGTCTACGTTTGATTTAAGAGTAACTACATCTTTCCAGTCTAGTTCATAGGTCTTAGTAAGTCCCCTAGTAACCTCAATGTATTTATCAGGGTCACCTGAGAACTTTCCTACCTCTTGTTTGATCTGTTTGAGGTCACCAAGAGAAAAGTACATGAGGACACGGTTAGGGCTGTATTCACCATTTACCTCCTGGAAAGGATAGCGTCCTTGAGAAGCTTGCACAAAATCAGCTAAGGATGGAGACTGCACAGTAGAAACTTCAGTTAGGAGAAGCCTCGCTCTTAGGATCCAAAGGACAAGTTGGGGGAAACCTCAGGCTGGGTGACAGGGAATGAGACTTTGATCAAGGTTGCCTTGGAAACCTGCTAGGATCCTGTCTCAGAGATAGTGGATGGACCCAGGTGTGCCTGGGGGGCTAGAGGTGTCTGGCTTTCCTGCACCTTACTTACATTCTGAATACAAACAAGGATTATATCTTAATGCAAAAGAAGTCTGAATACCAGCTACTGCTGACCATTTTCCCTCTCTTACAGTACAATTCTAGTTGTGAAATAGTATAATCAGTACTTCCCTCTTGATTCCATTCACCTCTAGGAGGTACGCTGGCTGTGAGCAGGTGCGGGAAGTTATTAAACAGTGCTTCCTCAATACACGAGGGTCAAACAGTTTCCAGCGTTTAACAATATGTTCTAAAAGAGTAAGAGGATTTGACGCTGAGTTCCCCATCTCCTTCCAATCACCTTGGTGGGACCTCCAAATGATATAGGGGAAATAAACTCCCAATCCTGCTGGATGTCTGATACACCGAGTTCATGTTCCCCAAAATTGGAGAATGAATTCTGATAAACAAGGGAGGTTAACAGTAGGGAATTTTACTGAGGGAGCCACAGCTCCTGAGAGAGACAGGAGGGGACCAGGAAAGCGGGTTGCCCCCGCTGTCCTAAATGAACAACTTTATGGTAATTTGTTACAGTTGCTATAGGGAAGACAGATGCAAGGGCAAAGCAAAGACATCATTGGGAAACCCTGGCGATTTATATGCCCAAGGTAACAGAGGGTGAAAGGGTTATCTCTGTGTTATACTGAGTCATCAGTGCCTTTGTGTGAGTTCCACTAACCCCCACTATCCAGCATTTTCACTAATAAGCACAGCTGTTTTAAATGAAAATGTATTTAATTTTATTTTATTTCATTTTTGTCTTCTTGAGACAGGGTTTCACTAAGCAGTTCAGGCTGGCCTTGAGCTCACTTCGTAGCTCAGGTTGATCTCAAACTTGCAATGATCCTCCTGCCTCAGCCTCCGGAGTACTGGAATTACAGGCATGTGCCATTGTGCCCAGCTTACATTTAATTTTTAAAATATTTACTAATTATAGACTTACTTTCCAATGGAGTTCCATCTCATATCCTTTTATACCTAGAGGACCATAAGAAACCCCTGGGTTCATAAACTAGCTCTTGGGAAAAACCTGATCCCTCGTCTCCCCATTTTACAGATGAAAAGACTAAGGCTCAGATGGAGGTAATTTCTCCATTTCCCAGAGATGCTAAATAACGCTGTAACTATTGTTCCAATTCCTACGGGGCTACACATTTATTCTTTCTCAACTTCCATCAAACACTTCCATAAACGCCTTTTCCCACATCTGGATAAGACCCAGAGGCCAAAGATAACCTCCATAGCTGGAGCTCCATGCCTGGCAACTGGGACACCTAAGTGCCAGAGGTGGGGGGGGGGGGTACAGCAGTTGCGCAGGCGCGCTGAAAAGGCCACCACTGGCCACAAGAGGGAGCGCGTAGGCTCCGGAGCCGGAGTGCTCGTCAAGGGGCGGGACCCACGAACGGTGCGCATGCGTCTGAGGGAGGCGGCGGCGCCAGCCTGTGAAGGGCAGGACAGTGGCCGAGAGGGCACCGGAGGAGGACGGTGGCCCACGAGGTCCGGCATGGAGCATCTGGAGCGCTGCGAGTGGTTCCTCCGGGGGACGCTGGTGCGGGCGACCGTGCGGCGCTACCTGCCATGGGCGCTGGTGACCTCCATGCTGGCCGGCTCATTCCTCAAGGAGTTCTCTCCGCTGCCTGAGAGCTACCTCAGCAACAAGCGCAACGTCCTGAACGTGTGAGTGCACCCCGGGTCCCCCTGTTGTGCCGTAGCCTCGCAGTGGCCCCTGCCGTGTGGCCGGGGTTGGCCCCCCGGACTGACGAGCCTGGAAGGGAAATCCTTCCAGTTGTGACAGCAGCATCTGCGCGAGTGTCGCGACTCGGAGACCCGGGAGCCGCTAGCCTCACTAGCGTTTGGCGTTCGTAGATTCAGCTTTGACAGCCTGAGTTTGACGGGCAGGCAGTGACGGGAGGGGCTGTGTAGTGGCTGTGTCCGTGGGAGTGTGGGGTGGGGCTGGGGGGTGAACCAGCGCCCCCACCTCCTCTCGGTGTGAGAAGCAGTCCCTGCCCTGTTTAGGATATGTCACCTCTCTTCAGCCTGCCTGTGTCAGATCCTCGCTGACAGAATCCAGTCCATCGCCTTTTAAAGTCTCCGCTATGACCACCCCAATAACAGCAGCACCTTTGAGAATCTTCTCCTGGGCTTATGACAGAATCCCCAATACAAGATACTGGCAGAGGGGTGGAACCCTCCTGCTCTGACCTTTCCCCTGGATCTCCTTGGACCTTCTTAGCCGCCCATAGTGCATGGCAATGGCCCAGGAAAGCAATCCCAGCAGGGCTTCTGAGGACATGTTAACGCCACCCTCCCACTTCTTTTAACTTCTGGGCTCTAAACTTACAGCATAAAAATACTGTTGCATTATTAAAGGGGAATTGAAGATGAAACTTCTCCCTTGATGTGAGCCCAGTTCTTCGGAAGTAGTGTCTCCAGAATCCGCTGAGAATCAGCCCAACTTTGATTATCTACTCAAACTCTGGCTTCTCTCCCAGGCAGCTCCATCAAGCCCATCGAGTCTTGGCTCTGACGAGTCCTACGTTATCAGTGGCAGTGAGCATTATAGTGACAGGCCCTTAGGTGGTGTCTGAGAAACTGCTGAAACTTAGGAAAGAGGCATTCTGTCCTTGGCCCCCCTCTGTCCTCACCCACCCTCCTCTGCTGGGCTAAGAATAGATTCTGAGAGTGGCAGTAGCCTCAAGTCTCTTTCCTGTGTGTTTCCTACAGCTGGTCCCCAGGCCAGCCACCTTTCATGAGCACAGGGTAGGCAGAAAAGGCAGTTACTGCTTAGTTTGGCCTGAGAAAGCGAGACTAGCATGACACACAAGTCCCTGTTGTTTGGGGTAGCTATGGATCCTGGTGTTTTGTTCCGAGGTATTGTGCTAATTAGTGGGAGGAAACTAGTGGTGACTCACTGAATCTGGAAGGGATTTTGAAATTCACTTGGTGCCCTCAACTTGATTTAACTGCAGAGGAAACTGATGCCTAGAGAGCTATATAAACAAGTCAATTCAGAGTCAGGTTAAAATTCTGGTTCTTCACGTTTGAAATAAAATTCCTTGTTCAAAGACCTTTTCTGCCATGTCAGAAAGAACAGTGATACGGTAGAACAAGCATGGGCTTTGGGATTGGCCAAAGTGCCTTTTAATTTGTGCTTGCTGTGTGTGAGTATGGCCCTTGGCCAGGAACTCACTTTTTCTGAGCTTCAAGATTCTGGGCTTAAAGGAAACAGATAAAACTGTACCTTCCTTTCCGGGCAATTGGAAGTGTCCTTTGGCAAGTAACTGCCTGTGACAGTTCCTGGCATCTGGTACATGCTCAGTTATCATTGCTCCCCCGAGCAAAAACACACTGTTAAAAACAAGACTGTAGGTTTGAACTCCAGTGCCATACTTAAGACCTCCATTTTGGCATGATGCTTCTCTGTGCAAAGGGGGTGTGTAATAGTACCTACCTCATAGCTTAATTAGGTCAATTTTGCTTAGTAAGTAAAGCACATTAGCAGGGCCTTAAAGTGGAATATCTCTTAGAATTTTTTTTTGAGACAGTCTCACTGTGTTGAGCTGGCCTCAAACTTGCTGTGATCCTCCTGCATCAGCTTCCGGAGTGCTGGGATTATAGGCATACACCGCTACAATGGGAAAGATCTAAGGTTTTGATCTTTGAAAATTTTCTCATTTTCTCTCCCTTGGAAACCCAGGGACCCAAATCGTAATGTTGTTTGTTGTCACCATGTCCCCTCTTCACTTTACTTTCCTCTTCTGTCAGGTATTTTGTTAAAGTGGCCTGGGCCTGGACGTTCTGTCTCCTGCTGCCTTTCATTGCCCTCACCAACTACCACCTGACAGGCAAGGCCAGCCTGGTCCTGCGGCGGCTGAGCACCCTGGTTGTGGGCACAGCCATCTGGTACGTCTGCACAGCGCTCTTCTCCAACATCGAGCACTACACCGGTCATTGCTACCACTCGCCGGCCCTGGAGGGGATCAGAAAGGAGTGCCAGAGCAAGCAGCACTGCCACAGGGAAGGGGGCTTCTGGCATGGCTTCGACATCTCGGGTCACTCCTTCCTGCTGGCCTTCTGTGCCCTCATGATTGTGGAAGAGATGGCCGTGCTACACGAGGTGAAGACGGACCGGGGCCACTGTCTCCATACCGCCATCACCAGCCTGGTCGTCGCCCTGGGATTCCTGACCTTCATTTGGCTGTGGATGTTTCTGTGCACAGCCGTTTATTTTCATGATGTGTCCCAGAAGGTGTTCGGCACCTTGTTTGGTTTGCTGGGCTGGTATGGGACATACGGGTTTTGGTATCAGAAATCCTATTCTCCAGGACTTCCTCTCCAGAGCTCTTCTTCGAATTTGAAGCAAGACAGTTATAAGAAATAAGAGAAACAAAAGGCGGACAGCCGGACAACGGCTAATGTATTTTCCACTTAATTTATTTAGTTGTTGGTAGCATTATTGATTCCACTTGAGAGAGGAGGCTCACTGGGCAGTTTTGGGAGGTGGTGGAGGAATCTAGGGTACAAGTTCAGCGCTTAGGCTCTTCTTGGTATATCACCTGTGTCACCAACGTCACCTTCCCACCAGACAGTTTTTGTCCCTGGTGAGACTTAATCTTTATCTGGAACACCCCTTCGGTCCCTAGAGGGGAAAACTAAAGCTGAATTGGAAGGACAGAATCAAAGGCTTTTGTGACATGGCTCAAGGGGAGGCCAGAGCTTTAGGACTCCTCTGATGCCATCTTCCTGATTCTAGTTGTCTTTTGCGTTTAGTGACTGATATGATGACTTTTTTTTTGTTTTGTTTTTATTTTTAACAGTATTTCCCCTGGTCGGTTTTGCCATGAGCATTTATTTCTGGCAGGGTCTGTATAAAACACCCCAGTGCCTCCAAGACACTATCCTGGTAGAGTATTTGTCTCTTCTGTGGAATGTTGAATATTACAGCTGACTGTGATCAGCCACTAACATGACCCAGTAAGCTGCAGTGCCTCCTAACTGAGCACCAGGTGATTTTTACATAATGAACAATGTCCATATTGTCTGTTGTTTTATGTTGGGTTTCGGAGCAATAAGATTACCCTTTTTCCCTCTTATTTTGAGTGATTGCTTTATAGTTTTTAATGATGACTGTGGTATTTGTTCTTTGTTGACAAAACTCCTGAAAATAATTCATGGCTCCAGTGTTGCACTTTGGCACAAGTAGATTATTTTGAGGGTTTTGTTTTTAGAACACTAATTTACTTTTTATAAACCAGATTCTTGGCTTATAGTATTAAATTTCACTTTATGGAGTTATTTCCTCTATTAGGAATGAAACCAGAAATCAGGCTATTAATTTGGTGACTTTCATACTGAGTCAGAGTAATCGTGCACGGTGCCTATTTTATGCTGAAACTTTCCTGACCACATATTAGTTGTGTAGACAGAACAGTGTTTCAGGGCCATAGGACAAGTGCTTTAGTCCCTGTGTTATGGCCCAAGTCATTTCACCTTTGGACATGATTATGATGTTTCAGAAGTGAAGTAAAATCTCTCCCTCGTGGCTGAAAGCCAGCATCATTGCGAAGATGTCTGTATTAAGTGGTGCCATGACTTTGTACCTGCCTCCTCGTACTTGTGCCACCAACAAAACACCCCCCAGCCTGGCCCTGTCCCACTGGCCTTGCAGTCGGCTGGTCTTTTCTTTCTTCTCTGCAGCACTTCTCAGTCTCCAGTCTTCCTAGTAAGAATGCCAGGAAGACCTGGAAATCCTGTCACCTCCATCCAAAAGTTGTGCATTCTGTAAAATGTCCCCTGTCTTCTCCCTGACTGTCTCCTTAGGCCTTTCAAGCTGATCCCCTTTGCCTTATTATGGATAGTAGCCCGTGAAGCTCCTTTGATGCCCTTTCTCCAGCCAAGCTGGCTAATACCATTAACTGATAAGCTCTAACGTAACTGGTTTAACTCAAGCTCAGGCAAATCTCCAGGGTAATTTTTTAAATATAAAAATATATTTAAGAAACTTTTTTTTTTAATTGATACCAGGGATCGAACTTATGACCGTGCACTTGCAAGACAGGCGCTTATGCCACTGAGCTAAATCCCCAGCCCCTAAAACTATATTTAAAATACATATTTGTATGCTTTTAAGCTGTGGGCCAACTTATCAAAACATGAGACGTGAGGTGTTGTTCCCAAAAGTGAAGAAACACAGGCCATGAGATATCCACAGTACCATGGCAAGATGTGACAAGTGGCCCAGAGAAGGCATTTCATACTCTAAGAGTTTCCGCCTGCACACTAGGGCTGGAGTGGGGCTGGGGAAGGGGCTTGTTGAAGGGCTGAAGTCTCCCCTAACTTTCATGATCAGCACTAGAAGAGAACAGGCACCGGCTGGCTGACCAGAAGTTTACTTGTCACACTTCAGTCTCTAGACATTTTTCTCACAAGGCCTGATCCAGGTTTCATGCTGCTCATAGGAAATGCTGTTATCCAGCGTTCTGTATGGGTTAGGCTTCCACCCATTGCTCATGCTTAGCCCCATTTATTTTTTCTTTTTTGGAGTGTTGGGGTGGAGCCCAGGGCCTTGTAGGGGCTGAGCAGGTCCCCTGCTTCTGAACTACCCCATCTCCTTTTAGCCCCTCTCTTTTCTTCAGAAAGATCATGGCATAAGAGTTTGGGCTCAGGCAAACATGGGACATAGGTTTGGGATTTGGCACCACTTGCAGTAGCCGTACAGCTGTGGGCTACACTGGTCTTCCTTATCTGTAAAGTGGAGGTGGTGCCGCCAGGGTCAAGCGAGACGATGTCTGTGAGGTGCTGAGCATGTGCACTTAGCAGGCGATCATTTCTTGCTTCCATTTCTTGATGATGTTTGGGATGTTCTGGTTCCTCTAGAGAAAGCAGAGCAGCTAATAACTTTTGGGGGCCACTTGGAGTCTGAGTCTGTTGTCTCATCTTCCAAAAAGTGTGTGTGGTCCTCAGGTCCTCAACAAGAAGCTTTGTGGGCATCTGTGACCACAGAGTTCTGCCGTGTTTTCCTCTATGTGGAGGTTCTTTGGCTGACGCTCATTTCCACATGCATCTGTCATTGTCTGAGTACCAGATTGTATTTAAAGAATGGCTCCCGCCTCTGTTGTGTACACACAAACCCTGTGTGTAAACAAGAAAATTAAAATACGCTGGAGACAATGATATCCTTCATTTCAGAGTTTTGTGTGTTCCTTTCCAACACTAAGGAAGTCCAGGACCCAGCAAACCAAAGACCACAAAAGTAGGGATTCTTCTGTTATTTGTTACACATAGGCTGTATTGTGGCTGGAGTTTCTCTGTCTGTCTTTCTGTGTCTCTATTTTTCTGTGTCTCTTGTCTGTCTGTCTCTTTCTCTGCCTAAATCCTGATACCTACAGAGTCTACCAAAAAGGTATACATACTTCAAGAAAAGAAAGATTTGTATTAAGTATTTTAATACTAAATTTATTGAGACATCAGGAGGTTAATACATATTACCATTAGTCTTTAAGTATAAGAGGCACTCAAAGTGGTGACCATTAGCTTCCAGACATTTATTAGTGTGGCAGAATGCTGCTTCAGTAACCTTGGTCATTGAGATTGCAGACATACATTTTCAATTTCTTCTCCAAGAGCCGGCAGTGTAGTGGGTTTTATGTAATATATGACCTCCTCTAGGGTCCCCCATATGGGGTAACACCATCTGCTGCGAAAACATAGTATTTTTCTTTTCCGAAGTGTGTAAACACTTTTTTGGCAGACTTGTATATTTATGTCTGTATCTATTTCTTAGCCTGCCTTAGTCCCTTCCTCTGTCTTATGGTGCAGGGGCTGAGTCGGCTGCCATAGCAGGAGAGAGGAGAACCTCCTAAAAGGCTGAAGAGAAGGGCCGAAGTTCACTTGGGTGAGGTCCCCTTTGCAGGTGAAGTCTGTGGGCCTCGAGGCGTCTAACTGTGACAGTTTCTTGTGCCTTTTATTGCCTTCTCACTTGCCAGTCTCACCTACTTGGCACCCAGGTAGTGTCTGTCGCAAGCTCCTTGGCTCTGGTATTAGAATTGATTCCTGCTGCACAGCATTCAGCATCGAGACCTTCCGGGGTTCACATTAAAAGCTAGGAGCTAGGGGAGGATGAGCAGCTCCTGCCCGTGTGCAGTTTGTGCTCCAACGTCCGTCCTTTCATAGCTTCAACTGTGTGCTGATACACTAGTCAGCTTTTGTCCCTGTGATCCAATATCTAAGAAGAACAAGTTAAAGGACAAAAATTTGGCTCACAGTATGAGAACTTTCAGTCCTTGGTTGGCTGGCTCCCTTGTTTCTGGGCCTGAGGTGAGGCAGAATATTAGCTCACCTCCTGGCAGCCAGGAAGCAGGAAGAGGGGAAAGAACCAGTGAGGAAGAGAGCAGGGACAAATAAGAGTCCCCAAGGCCATGTCCCTGTGACCCACTCCCCTTGCTTAGGCTGTAACCTCTCAAGTTTCCATTACCTCTCAATGATGCCATCAGATTATGATCTCATCAGTGGATTGATCCATTGATGGAGTTAGAGCTCTCATGATCCATTTGTTTCTGGGACCTGCAGACCCACCCAGAAGCATGCTTTACTAATTTCCTGGCCACTTATCAGTCTAGTCAGGTTGGTAATCAGGATCAATCAGCACATCCGCAAAGGTGAATTTAACACATGTCTGATTTGAGGAAAGTTACTCTCACAAGGAAGAACCAGTCCCATCATTAAGTATTACAAGAACCCAAATACAGTACCAGTCAGGGGCTGGGGGTGTAGAGCAGAAAATCCAGTGCCCTGGAGAAACAGACAGTTTTCACTTCAGGAAGGGACAATTCTTTTGGGTCTTGAGAGATAAAGAAGAGATCAAGCAATTTTGTAGAGAAGGGAATCCAAGGCACCGAGGACAGCACATTCAAAAGCACATAGATAAGGGGCTGGGGATTTAGCTCAGCGGCATAAGCACCTGCCTTGCAAGCAGGCGGTCGTGAGTTCGATCCCTGGTACCGGTAAAAATGAAAAAGACAAAAAAAAAAAAAAAAAAAAAAAAAGCACATAGATAGCTGCCCTGCTCCCACAGTTTTATTCAGATAGCCCTTTCCGAGGGAAACCTAACTTTCCTATCTGTTTTAGTGGTGGTGATTCTGTGTATGGAACCCAAGCCCTCATGTACATTAAACAAGTGATGTACCACTGAGCCATATCCCCAGTCCTATTTTTTTATTTTAAAATTTTGATAATATATTTTAACATATCCCAAACATTATCATGTCAAAATGTAATAAAATTAAAGAATATAAAATTAAAGAATGAGATACATTTTTATACTGTGTATTTGAAATTTGGTAGGCTTTTAACTTTTTAAGAATAGCTTTATCACTGGGGATTTAGCTCAGCGGCATAAGTGCCTGCCTGGCAAGTGCAAGTTCATGAGTTCGATCTCCAGTAACAAAAAAAAAAAAAAAAAAAAAAAAAAAGAACAGGTTTATTGAGATAGAATTTATATATCATACAGTTTGCTCATTTAAAGTGTCCAGTTTGGAGCTGGGGATTTAGCTCAGTGGCTTAAGTGCTTGCCTGTTAAGTTCAAGGTTGTGAGTTTGATCCCTGAGATAAAAATAAAATAAAATAAAGAGGAAAACTAAAGTGTCCAGTTCAATAGTTTTTGTTGTTGTTGTTGGTGTTTGTCTTTTTGAGATGGGGGTCTTACTATGCAATTCAAGTTGGCCTTAAGCTCACTTTGTAGCCCAGCTGATCTCAAACTCACAACAATTCTCTTGCCTCAGCTTCCTGAGTGCTGGGATTACAGGACAGCTTAATAGTTTTTATTTATTTTTTGGGGGGGAGGTACCAGAAATTTGATTTAGGACCTCCAGTATGCCTGGTCCCAATAGTTTTTAAAATATTCTTTTTTTAAAAAAAATTTTTTTGTATGGCTCTGAGAATTGAATGATGGCCTCATGCATGCCAGGCAAGCACTCTGTCGCTGAACCATATTCCCAGTCCATTACAGGTTTTAGTACATTCGCATGTGTTAACTATCACAATTTTGTAGACTTAATTATCTAAAAATAAAAGTTCATATTCTTCAGCTGTCATTTACCTGCCACCTATATATTCCTCAGCCCTAAGCAGCCACCACTCTGCTTCCTGTCAATTAGGATCTCCATATTCTGGGCCCATCATATGAATGCAATCAATATGTGGTCTCTTTCAATTAGCATAATGTTTTTAAGGTTCATCTATGTTATGTCATGTATCACTACTTTTCTGACCCAATATTATACTGTTGTATGGACATATCTGCATTTCGTTTATCCATTTATTCTCAGATGGGATTAGAGTTCTTTCCATCTTTGGCTATATTATGAACAGTGCTACTATGTTTGTGTATAAGTTTCTGAATACACATACATTTTCATGTCTCTTGGGTAGCTGGCTACCTTGGTTAGGAATTGTGGAGTCACACGGTGATCCTGTTTAATCATTTGAGGAACTGTCGAACTGTCTTCCACAGTGTCTGTACCATTTGTGTTCCCACAGCAGTGTATGGGAGTCTGATTTTTCCACATCCTTACCTACTTTGTTATCTGACTTTTAGAATCTAGCTATTCTAATGGTTATAAAGAGGCAACTTATGCTTTTGATTTGCTCTTCCTTAGTGGCTAGTGATATAGAGAATCTTTTTAGGTGTTTATTGGTCATTAAGTAGCTGTGGAGAAGTGTCTATTCAGTTCCTTTACGTATTTAAAAAGTTATGTCATTTGTCTTTTTATTTTTGAATTGCAGGAGGTCTTTATGTGTTCTAGATATAAGACCCTTAGCATATATATATATATATATATGCTATATATATATATATATATATATATATAATACATACACACATATGTATATAATGCTATTACTTTCTTCTATTCTGTGGGTTGCCTTTTCCTTTTGATGGTGTCCTTTGAAGCATAAAAGTTTTAAAATTTGATGAAGACCAATTTATTGTTTTCCTTTTATTACTTATGCTTTTAGTTTCATGTGTAAGAGTCTTCTGCTAAACCGAAAGACATGAAGACTCACCTCTATATTTTAAGAATTTTGTAGTTTCTGTTCTTATATTTCGGTCCTTGCTTTTTTTTTTGAGTAAATTTTTGTACCTATTTTGAGGTAAGAGTTTGCAATAGTTTGGATCTTGTACATTTCCAAGAGACCAAAAGTTGAATGGTTGGCCTTAGTGTTATTGAGCGGGGGTAGAATCTGTGGGAGGTGGAACTTCGTGAGAGAAAGTTAAGTCTTTGGAGGTGTATCCTTGTATATATGCGTGTATATTTATTTATTTATTATTAATTTATTTTTATTTTTATTTTTTTTTGTCTTTTTGAGACAGGGTCTTGCTATGCAGTTCAGGCTGGCCTTGAGCTCACTTTGTAGCCCAGGCTGGTCTCGAACTCGCAACGATCCTCCTGCCTCAGCCTCCCGAGCGCTGGGATTACAGGCGTGAGCCACCACCTGGCTCTTATTATTAATTTATGAAATAAGGTCTTGCTATGTAGCTCAGGCTGTGCTTGAACTCACTATGTGGCCTAGGCTGGTCTCAAACTTGTAGCTATGTTCCTGCCTTAGTCTCTTGAGTTGTGGGATTGCTCAGCCTGACCTCCAATTTGTGCTCTTCTTCCCTCAGCCTTCCTAGGCTTGTACCACTGTGCCCAGCTTTTTCTGTCATTTAAAAAAGTCATCAAGATTGAGGAGTGGCAGACTTAAAGGACTCTCAGTAGACTGGACTAGATTCTGCTTCTGCTTTTTCTGCTGGTCTGTGATCTTTTTTTACCCAATCGGATTTTATTGGTACATTTTAGGTATACATAATAATTGCATTTATCACTGGTTATTGAACATCTCTGGGTTTCAGTCTTATCTGATAAACAATCTGGATAGACTGGAGAGTCTCACCAACCTTCTGATCTTCTGCTTTCTTATTCTGTGTTCTGCTTGATCAGAAGTTCTTCCCAAGTTGTTTGTGAGAACAACATGAAAAGAAGCTCCCACTCAGGGCTGAGGTAGCAGCTGGCTTCTCAGGGAGTGAGGAGAGAGCTGCCTTCAGGTGCAGTTTATCACTGCCATGTACTTTTTCTCTGCATGGATACTAATGCAGGTCGGACCCGATGGTGTGGATTTCTGGGCACTCGTTAGACATGGGG